CCCCCACAGTCACATCAGTCTCTGTACAGAGGAGCTTACACTCTAATGTCCCCTCCCCCACAGTCACATCAGTCTCTGTACAGAGGAGCTTACACTCTCATCCCCCCCCTTCCTCTCTTCCTCTTCTTTCCTCCCATCCTCTCTCCTCTCTCCTCCTCTCTTCTTCTTCTCCTCTCTCCTCTCTCCTCCTTCCTCTCTCCTCCTTCCTCTCCTCTTCCTCTCCTCTTCCTCCTCTCCTCTTCCTCTCCACTTCTTATTATCCTCCTCCTTCATCCTTTTCTCTCTCTTCCTCTCCTCTCTCCTCCTCCCCTCCTCTTCCTCTCTCCTCCTTCCTCTCTCCTCTCTCCTCCTCTCTTCTTCTTCTCCTCTCTCCTCTCTCCTCCTTCCTCTCTCCTCCTTCCTCTCCTCTTCCTCTCCTCTTCCTCCTCTCCTCTTCCTCTCCTCTTCTTCTTCTCCTCCTCCTTACTCCTCTTCTCTCTCCTTTTCTCTCTTCCTCTCCTCTTCCTCTTCTCCTCCCCTCCTCTTCCTCTTCTCCTCCCCTCCTCTTCCTCTCCTCCTCCTCCTCTTCCTCTCCTCCTCCCCACCTCTTCCTCTCCTCCTCCCCTCCTCTTCCTCTCCTCCTCCCCTCCTCTTCCTCTCCTCTTCCTCTCTTCCTCCTCCTTCCTCCTCTTCCTCTCTCCTCCTCCCCTCCTCTCCGTCTCGTTGCAGAGTTTGGGGTCCGATGTTCTTCCTCTGGTAATGGAGGAGTATTTTGAGGATGTGACCGACCCCCTCCAGATCCGGGACCGCTTCCTGGACATGTGCGGTGATTTGGTTTTTGTTATCCCAGCCCTGAAGTTTGCTCGGCATTACAGAGGTGGGTGAAGTAGAAGGCGGAGTCCGGGGGGGGAGGGGGGGGGGTATTAGCCGCCGCTGCCTGGTCTGGCATCATGTGCAATGGTTAGTTTGTTGTCTCGGAATCGCATTTTGGCTGCGTTTTGTTCCGGTATTTTCTCTCACTGATTGTTGCGTTGTGTCTCAGACTCCGGACTTCCTGTCTTCTTCTACGAGTTTCAGCATCGTCCTTCCTTATTCCGTGACACCAAGCCGGCTTTCGTCAGGGCGGACCACGGCGACGAGCTCCTCTATGTGTTCGGGGGACCGTTTCTAACTGACGGACAAATATTCAGCAGTAAGTTACAATGTAAATCCATTTCCTGGTGAAGTTCTTCTGTATTCATATTGTCTTCCCCGGGCTCTTAAAGGGCCAGCACCGTATATCCGGTCATGGTGGTAAGGTGTGTCATTGGATGCTGCCAGTCTGAACCAGAGGTATCCAGACTCCGGCACTCCAGCTGTTGTGGAACTACAAGTCCCAGGAGGCATTGCAGGGCTCTGAGAGCCACAGGCATGACTCCCAGAGGCAGAGGGATGATGGGATTGGTAGTGTCCACCACAGCTGGAGTGCTGAGGCTTGGCTATCCCCGATCCAGATCTCTCTTTATTACATTAGAAAGGATCACATGGTCACACATGGCACCGCCCACTCAGCACTCATTTTGTCAGAGGTCAGAATGCTGATCTGGGAGGGGGTTTTATATCCGTGGTTGTCAGCATGCAAGGTATAAGGGGCTTCAGACGTGGCCCCTTGATGTCACTGAAGGGCCACATATAATATTCATTGTACCTAATGCTGCAGAGGACCGTCGTAGACTAGAGACTTACTAAACGATCAGAGAATGTTCTAGACGAGAGACTGCTAGAGGTGACGGCCCTTACAGACCCACTAATGACCGACGGAGTCCGAGGGCCACACTGCAGACCCCAAAGGGGCTGAACGTGGCCCCCTCGGGCCGCAGGTTGGCCACCAGGGACTTCTATCATCCATTTTCTGTCTTTTACTCTTCAGGTAACTTCACCGAAGAAGAGAAGATTCTGAGCAAAGTCGTGATGAAATATTGGGCCAACTTTGCCCGCGACGGGTGAGGACGGCACGCCATACGATTGTATCTCATCGTCTGTGCGAAGATTGTTTCATATTGTGACAAAGTAATACACTGACAGAGAGGGAAAGGTGAACCCTGCTACCATCCCCCTACTCATCATTCACCCCCTACTCCTCATTCACCCACCTTCATCGATTCACAGTGATCACATGATCACGATTTGCTGTCCCCGGCTCCCCATCATTAGTCCGAGACAAGGAGCGGTCAGTGACAGTCAGGTCTCCATGCTGGAGGCGTGCAATTGAGCATGCTCCTAGCACAAACACATGCCCGCCGCCGTGACCCTGAACATACACTATATTACCAAAAGTATTGGCCCCTCCCCCTCCCCATCATGTGATTCAGGTGTTCCAATCCCCTCCGTGGCCCCCGGTGTCTAGGAACCCGGCGATGGAGGAGGCGGGGCCCGATGATGGAGGAGGCGGGGCCCGGCGATCGAGGAGGCGGGGCCCAGTTACAGAGGAGTCGATCATGGAGGAGAAGGAGGCGGACAGAGGGGCAGGGCTAACAGGTAAGAGGGCTTGACCGCCCGTCTGAGACCCTGCAGAGCCCACCAT